GCTTTCGTGGCTTGGATGAGGACAGCTCTAAACGGGCGACACACTGGTTTGGTTAGGGTGCGTCTCAACCTCCTATTTTGAAGTATTGTAGACGGGACTTGTCGTAGTATGTTTGTTACCATATCATTATGTTACTGTCTGCATACCCTTTTTAAAATTCTTTGACTTTTTCTTATTCACAGTTGCGTCTTTCTGAAGAAGATCGGAGGAATGATGAAGTTTGTACTGCTGTTATGAGCTTGATGAAGAAAGTTTTCAAGCGTCAAAGTTATGACCGCAAAACAAAATCAAAGTATTTCGATTATCAACCGGACGCGCAGGTTGCTTTTCAAACGTCTCCAGACCAGGATATATTCCAATACCGCAAAGTGCCATGCTCACCTGAAGAACGGCAGCAGTTTGTGACAGAGGCCTCCTGCGATTCCTCCTATGATTGCAAAGATGAGAGCAACTGTTGGTAATTACTTTTTCTTATTTTAATTATGTGATGTTGAACAAACTATGAACTGAACTATATTTCCTGTTTAGTTATCAGGTTTTAAGGGGGCAGTCGCACCTAAAAATCGAAAAAAAATCGAATTTTTTTTTTTGCTTCTAAATTATCTTTGGACCTTCCCTCACAACCCCTCAAAGGGGTTTTACCATTTGCGAAGCCCTATGGCCTCTGCGGGCTCCGACGTGAAACCCTGCATTTAACAGAAAATGACCAAAATTCATTTAACGCCGAAAATGAGCGAAATCGCCATTCTATCGCGCCCGCGCGGGCTGGACGGTTATAACTGCGCGCCGGACGGGTGTGGGGGACTGTGGGGAGGGGAGCCGTCGCCTAGCGACCGCCTGGAGCCGAGCGCGCCGCGCGCAACCTAGCGGACAGCCGTGGAACTGCGTCGCCGATCCGTTGTCTCTCTCTCTCTCCCTGTCTGTCTCCGTCTCGGTTGCATCGTTTTTGAAAGTAGCGGTTTGGTCTAAGTTTTGTACGAGATTTTGCTGCTTTGTCATGAGTGATTCCGAGTCAGAGACGGTCGAGACGCCAAAGCCAAAGCGGCCGTCCGGCAAACGTCCGAAAAAGAGGAAATTCTCGTCTAATCAGTACACTGGACAAAAGAAAAACAAAGAAGCTCAGGCCCAGGCAGCCCCGAGCACGAGTTCTGCGCAGGTTAGTTTGAGACATTCTGGTAGTAAAGCCGAAGAAAACTACTCCGATTTCTAAGATTTCTTTCATATTATTTTTTAGGAGAACATCGCCGAGGCCGAAGAAGTTGGTCGCAGAACGCGGGCATCAGCAAGGGCAGCAGCGGTGAGAGGTTCCATAACCTCCTCGACAACACCGGCATGTACTTCATCATCGTCTGCAGCAGCTCTGACCGAGCCCTCGACTCCAAGTACCGCACCAGCTGTGGAGACTTCACCTGACTCTGCGTCGAGGAAAAAACTGCGAGCAAGTTTGAACCCAGAAGTCGACGATGCAAGAAAAAACTGGAGTGGATTTAGAGTGGTGGACATAGATTTGTTTTTGAAAAATATTGAAGACAGTTGTGTGTGCAAAGTGTGTTTCAATAGTATAAGTGTGAAAGAAACTTCTCAGTGTGGCCTTAGTTCAATTTTTACTGTGTCATGTACAAACAAGAAGTGTGATCATGAAGAGACTTTTAGGAACAGTGAAATGATTTCTAAGTTTGTAGCCGAAGTGAACAGGAGATCAGTGTACGCGTTCAAAAGTTTAGGTTTAGGGTACAGCTCATACAAAGAGTTTTGTGCGTTGATGGATTTTCCAAAACCTGTATGTCATAGTACATTTGATCGTGGTGTTGACGCCATCAATGAAGCATCATCTACCGTTGCTGAAGAATCCATGAAGCAGGCTGCAATTCAAGAAACAACAGCAACTGGAAGCAAGAATATAACTGTAAGTGGTGATGGAACTTGGCAGAAACGTGGATTCTCATCTCTCTTTGGTGTTGTCACACTCATAGGCCTTCTCACAGGAAAAGTTATTGATTTTCTTGTTCTCTCTCTAGTTTGTAAAATCTGTGATGCTTATCAAGGATTGAGAGAAGGACCAGAGTATGAAGAGTGGCAAGAAAATCATGCCCCTCAGTGCACAAAGAATCACGAAGGATCGTCTGGTAAAATGGAGGTTCAGGGTATGGTCGAACTATTCAAAAGATCGGATGAGAAGAGGAGAGGAGTTGTCTATGAAAATTATATAGGTGATGGGGACTCTAAAACCTACAAAGCTGTGGTAGAGAGTAATCCCTATAATAATTTGACAGTCAAGAAGAGAGAATGTACTGCCCATGTGCAAAAAAGAATGGGGACGAGGCTTAGAAATTTGAAGAAAGAAATGTCTAACAAAAAATTACGTGATGGCAAGTCACTCTCTGGCAAAGGTAGGCTGACTGATAAGATAATAGATCAGATATCAGAGTACTATGGCAAGGCTATAAGGTCTTCTAAAACAGTTGAAGAAATGAAGAACAAAGTGTGGGCCATATATTATCACATGTCCTCAAGTGACCAGAAACCGACCCATCAGTACTGTCCGAAAGGAGCTGATTCATGGTGTAAATACCAAAAAGCCGTTGCTGCAAGGAAGGCACGTCAGTTCAAGCATAAACAAAATGTTCCTCTTGTATGTATGGAAGCCTGTAAGAAAGTTTTTGAAGACCTCACTGACAATACCTTGCTGGAAAGGTGCATTGGTGGTTACACTCAAAACCCCAATGAATCAGTGAATAACCTTGTTTGGCTGGGTTGTCCCAAAGTGAGATTTTTTGGGAAAAAAACTGTTGATATTGCTGCTGCTGAAGGTGTGCTGCAATTCAATGATGGCTGCAGGGCTAAAATCAAGGTCCTGAGAGAGATGGGAATACAGCCTGGTAACCTCTGCATCAGCTGGGCCATCACAGAAGATAACAAAAGAATTCACCAAGCTCAAGTTCGGGCCAAGGCAGCAACTAAGGAGGCTCGTGTAGAACGTATTAGGAAGAGGAAAGCTGCTGAGCAAGCAGCTGAAGATGATTCATACATTCCTGGTGGACATTAATGTACCAACATGTAAATAAACACACTTCTAACTTTAAGGCTGTTTTTCTCCAAACTATGATTTTGAACCTTGCGCGCATGATTCCAGGAGAACGACTTGTTAGATTGACTTCAAATTTTTTGTGGCCTTAGTATATTATAAGAACCTCACAATGAACCTCTACTTTTAAAATTGGAGCACTAGAACACTGTAAAAAAAAAATGAAGTTAAGAGAATTTTTTCACTTT